AAGGCCCCAGGACCGCAGGAGATCTGAAGCAATGGCCAGGTTTGCTTATAGGACGGTCCTGTTTTTGTTCCAAAGGAACATAAACAGAAGACTGTTACCCAGACATTTTTTGGAGCATTAAAAAACAGAATAATACAGATCCCAGAACGTGAAAAAATTAAAAACCAATAACTAAATAAAAAGGCATCAGGAGCATTATACGATTCTGATGCTGTGGACACATTTACTCAAATAAAATTCAAACAAACATCATGAGTTGCAAATAAGAGGCAATGCTGTCCAATGCATGTCACACATTTTTATTTGTCTTAAGGATACCTTTAATAAGCCCTAATTTGCAGAGATGTCAGCAGTAAGTGTTCCCCGGAATAATGTTAAACTCCAATTTAAAGTTATACCAATTCCTCATATTGTGTTCTCCAGACTTGGCAGAATGAAATGTAGGCTGTCTGTAAAAGCATGATGACCTTGAAAGTCATTGTCAAATAAGGAAAGATGTGGCAGACTGTTGAAACATGTCACATAAACTCCCTCAGTTGGTGACTTTGGCTCATGTGTTTTTGTGATTTTTTTTTTTTTTTTTTTCTTTAGTCGACTGATCGGTGGATTTTGGGAACTTAAGTATTCAAGCAAGTCAATAACGTTTTGTTGTTGCTGTTGTTTGTTAGGAGTGTTTGATGGAGTTTCTTTTTTATTGCTTTGTCTCCTTGAAGTGTTTTTAGGGATCTTCTTGTCCTTTGAGGGCTCTTCCAATTGATTTTCCACCTTTTTCCAGTTTTTTGTCAGTCCATGATGTTTTAGTAAACTTAATTGTGCTTTTATTTGGTACTGAATTTCATCAATTAGTTGTGATGACTTAACTTAGGCTGTTTAGAAGCTCAGCCGTAGGATTTTTTTTAGCAAATCAAAATGATCAATTTAATTTTTACACTTTTTTCCCCTTTCTGTCAGAGACCTTAGTATGATTGTAAAAAGACAGAAGGAAAGAGATATATAAATATGATCTAAAGTGTCATATAGGTTAGTTTATAGAAATGACTGAAATGAAAAAAAGTTGATTAACTTTCTGTTTATGTTCACAATTATCTTACTCATATTGTACTTTTGTGTTTTTGTGCATGTAGAGTCTAAAATAAAATCTTTGTGCTGCAATCTGCAGGTCTCTATGTGTAACTCGCAGTACAAATATTGTACAGTACTGTGGGCTGTTGTATGATGCCACTCAAATTAATATGCAAGCACCACATTAGCCAAATATAAATGACTGATGCTGCAGTGTAACAGTTTAAATAAGAACCAAGAGCAACTGACAGCTAATCAGTGAAAACAAGTTATATTTCCAAAACCATCTTTTGTAGAACAATGCGAAAAGCATCAAACCCTCTCTGTTTAAAGATTATCAAAAGGAAACTTCAGCAATTCATCTTGCTGAACTTAGTGAAGAGGATCTTTGAACAAAAATACTTGAAAATAATCATTGACCAGTAAATGTAACATTGTTTTTATGATGAATAATCTTAAGATGCCGCTTTGAAGATTATATGTCTCCTTTACCAGTAGTAAAGCAAAAGACAACAAAACAAAAAAAAGTATTAACCTGCATTTAATGGAATCTTTGGACAGTTGAAACTGTCAAACCAAAACTTCTTCGAAAGAACATCTGTCAGCTTTGACATACACGGCCTGGCCAGAAAATAAATGTTTGCTTCTGCAGTGTCACAAGATTTATTTCCTTCCAGAGATTCATTAATTTTTCACCCATACCTTGTATTGATGCACAAAGCGTTCTCTAGATCATCATAAGGATTCTCACTGAGGGTAAGGTCTGAACTCTGTGTTGGCCAATCCATGGGTGAAAACGGATTGGCCAAACTTAAACCAGATGAAGTTTGGCATTATCATCTGTGTCATCATTGAATAAACAGTCCATCAATAGACCTCAATGTTGCTGAATCTGGACCTGACCAAGTGCAGCAGCCCCAAATCATAGTGCTGCCCACACAGGCTGGTACAGTTGACAACAGGCATGATGGGTCCATCATCTGCCTCTCTTCTCACCCCGATGCACCCAGTGATGGGCCATCAATCTGAGAAAGTGTAAATGTGGACTCAACAGATCACATGGCCTTTCACATCACTCTGGAGTCCAATCTTTATGCTCTCTTTCAAACTGAAACCTTTTTCTCTCCTTCTTAGATGCTTTCTCTTTTCGATGCTAAGGATTTGACCTTTCTTAAGAACTGAAATTCATAAAATACAATATTTTTCCCAAGTGCTGCATATTTTCTTTACTTGTTACTCCCTGGATTCTAGGAAGAATAATTGATTAACTTTAAAAAATATATATAGTTTGTGATCATTGACTTATTTACTCACTTTCAGCAGACTGACTGTTCAGGTGACAAATTATGAATTTAAGTTGTAAATTCAAATTTTAATTTACAACTTAAATTAAATAAAACTATCTGAATATATATAAGAATGTGTTAATGATACAAACATACAATCCCACAAATTATATTTTAATACTATAGCAATGCCTTTGCATCTTGTACCTAAACTCTTATTAGAGGTGAGGCCATGACTACACTCACAATGGAAAAATTCCTTTTATTTATTTTGTAATTACAATAAAACATTATTTCAGGGACCACATATAATTCTCTGTATAATGTACTTTCTAAAAGATCCATTTATAAAATAATCAGTGAAGCTATGTTATGTTGGTTTTAATTCTTTCCATTCTTTTAATTATTCAGTCACAGTGATGCTTGTTATGATTGAGGGTTTGTGTCATAATGTTTGCTGTAGTGTGGGTGGGGCCACAGTATTATGCACTCATACAAAAACCTAATGGAAAAAATGTCTTGATGGATAATATGATAAAAAGGTTAAAGACGTCACATTGAAATATGTAATAATTATGATATCTAGCTTTCATCACCTAATAGTTAATCTTACTCACTCTGACTTAAGTTCATATTTCACATATTGGGACTCTGTGGTGTTAAAGTTTAGTTTTATGTGAACTCTTAATTAATAGAGAATTACCAGGAAACAGGTACTTCAGATGATGTGAGCGTGTCTCAGTTATTGTCATTTTAAAATATTTGAAATTTTGCTTCAAATTTTGCTAGAAAACTACGTGTTTTCTAGTGCTTCAGGTTTTTGTTCAAGCAGTAAATGGAGATGTAGCACTGTGATGCTTTCGACTACTGGGGTAAAGGGACTGAAGTCACAGTATCTTCAGGTAAGTCAATTTTAAATCAAATATTCCGTAATGCTGTTTCTTAAATTCATTCTTTGTTTTTTTTTGTCCAAATGAGGCTGCTTGCTGATAGAGTTCTGTTGGTTTAACTTGCTAAAATTTATACAGATAGAACAGTTCCACAGAAAACAATGTCTGTTGTTTCAGACTAGTTAAAAACCAAATAAAGTGACATGAATTAGTACAAGTTCTCATTTTATTAGATTTTGTTTTTATAATTTTAGAACTCTAGAAAATGTGTTTATATTGTGTTTGTGTGGAATAAATAAGAATCTGTTACATAATGTATTCAAGCAATGTTTTTGCAGTATAAAAACTGCAAAACCTATGCTTTGACAATTAAGATCACATGTTACATGTCTCCTAAAGGCACTGAACATTTTCTGCCAAGAGGAACAAAGAACCAATTTAATTAACCCTAAAAAGTATATATAATGAGAACATATTTATTTGCATTGCAGTATTAAAACATCCACTTTTTACAATTTAAGGCCACATGTATTTAGTGAAAAGCCATAGTTAAATTATTTTATATATTAAATAATACTCAGAAGAATGTGCAATTTAACATAATTTTATTCTTAATACAAATATTTTTATTAATAAAAAGTATTCTATATTTTGTAATTGCAATTTGTAATTTGTACTAAGCGATTAACACTATCCTTCTATTTATCCTTCTTTATATGTTAAAAATAATACTGAAAAACCTATCATCAAGAAAAATATAGGAGGACAGTATGTATTTTATTTTTTTTAATGTAAGTTTTTTTAGGAGCAGCTTGTGTTATTTGGAAAACAATTTATAATATTAAGTTAATGAATGATGTTTTAAAAATAAAGGCTGAAAACGTGAATCATAGAAAGTGTGTATTTTGTTGCAGTATCTCTGGCAAAGTAACAAGATAAGCTGTTGAAATTGTAACTGCCACAGCTTACATTAAGATAATTTGAAATACCTATTTGGGGATTTTTTCTTTTTTAAGAATTAAAATATACCAGCAGCGTACATGGGGTTGTGCGGATCTTATCAATATTGTCACCAAGTAAAAAAAAAAAAAAAGGCAGATCGATGTAGTGTATTGTAGTTCATTTTGAGAATATCCATTGTGTTCATCAGAAGAATTTGACTGTTCAAAAAAATAGTAATGTAAAAGATTTAGCAATTAGAAATTCAAAGGTGATGCATGATCTTGTACTTTGTTGCACTTCAAACATTCACTGTAAACATAAAGTTAAGAAATGTCTGAAAAAAGTTTCTACCTTTCAACGTCTGTGAATATAACAAAAACATTTTCATGGGTTAGTGATGTTTAATTGTCAAACAAATTTAAACTGTAGGTTACAGAGTAGGATTATGGCCACTGAAAAAAAAATTAATTAAATTCTGAGAATTCTGATTTTAATCTCAGAATTTTGAGATTAAAGTCAGAATTATTTTTTTTTTTCCATTGGTCGTGATCTTCTTCCTTGTGTTGTTTTACATCTTAATAGTTAAATTAAATTTCAACAGTTCACTTAAAAAAAAGAAACTTGTCAAAAGGCTAATTATTTCATCATCATACAAATCCTTGATTTAAAAGGTAAACACTTTGACTTAATGTGATGGACTCTAAATTAAAATAGTTGTTTCAAAAATGCAGGGGTAAATATTATGTGCTGTTAAAAAGATCTAAATTATGGTACATTAAATATAAACCTGTGTCCAGTGTTTGAATAATTACTTGCAGCTGAATTGCAGCATTGAAGATTTGTTATTGTAATATGCATTTTCATTTCTGTTATTTTACAGTGGCAAATGCCTCTCCATCTCTGTTTCCACTAACTCCATGTGATCCTGGGAGTGGAGATACGGTCACTCTTGGCTGTCTGGCCCAGGACTTCTTTCCCAAAAGTGCTACATTCCAGTGGACCAGTACCAGTAACAGTAACACTCAAGTGGATTCTCAACAGTTTATTTTTCCTCAAACAAATGTCAACAAATTCACTGGAGTCAGTGTGATCAGTGTGCCAAGATCAAAGGCTTTGTCCTACAATTGTTCTCTGACTCATCCGGCAGGAAACAAAAATGTGCCAGTGAAATGTATGTAATCCTTCCATTTCAGTACATGTTTTCTTTCATTTCCTCAAAGACATTTTCAAAAGACTGAAAATGTCTTATTCTCATGTTTGTCCTGTTCTTGTCTTGTGCTTAGATGCTTTCTCTCCTCCCAGTGTAACGTTGCTCTCAGAGTCAGACGGAGAGAAACAGGTCTTGGTCTGTTCCATTGAAAACTTTGCCCCCAAAAAAGTGTCAATCAGTTGGAAGAAAAACAACAACAATGTGGATAACGTCAAAAGTTTTGAACCCATGAAAGATGGAGATGTTTATTCTGCTGCCAGCATCTTCAAAGTCAACAAAACAGAATGGGACAGTAAGGCTGTTTACACCTGTGACGTGACTCACGCAGGACAAAATTACATAAAAAAGGCCTCAAAAGGTACTGTACAGTGTGTTTTATTATTATTATTAGAAAGTTAACTAAAAATACTGTATCTCTAATTACAAAATAATTAAGTATTTATTTTGTTACTTATTAATACAAAAAAAATCTCAATGCCTAAACACATTTTCTTTTCTTTTTTTCCCCTGTCTCATTTAGCATCTTTAACAGTGACACTGAACCCTCCGAATCCTAAAGCAATGTTTGTCAATAAACGAGCAGAGCTAAAATGTGTAGTTACTGGACCGGATAGCAGCATCGTATCTAAAACTAAAATCCAGTGGTACATTGATGAACAGCCAGTGACCAATAATATCAGCGAAAGCAATGATGCACAAACAAAAACCAGCACATTGATTCAACACTTTGATGATTGGAAGAAAGTTAAAACAGTGAAGTGTTCTGCCACCAGAGAAGGCATGGCACCAATTACCAAGAGTCTTAATGTCAACAGAGGTATGCCATCTAAATTTAATGGAATATCTTTTGAGAGTAATAAATGTACAAGCACGGAATATATGTTTGTCATAAAAATGATCATCTTAATTTCTGTTTTTCAATTTGAAGTATGCATTTTCCGTATAAACTGTAAATCTCTTTTAGGTAAGGAAATGCCCACCATTGAAGTCCTCACCCCTTCAACCATCACAGGTGATTCTGTCACTCTGGTGTGTCTGGTAACCAGTACAGAGCTGCAAGATTACTACATCGTTTGGTCAGAAGCTTCTGGACATGATATTGGAACATACCATGATGGCCTCAACTTGCCCCCACAGAAGATCAACAGTGTTTACCTAGTTTCAAGCTTTTACACCATCAGCAAGGATAAATGGAGCAAAAACAAGTTCAGCTGCAATGTTTGGCCTGCTGGCAGCGATGAAAAAATGAAACCTCATGATGTGTCGAGTTTCTCGGGTAACTCATGTGAATGTGACTGAATAGATCAGATTAAGCATGCCGTTTTGTGCCTGCATGTTGTTTGTTCTTTTTTTTTTATTTTACGTTGTAAAACTATGTGCCCTGTAATGTCATTGTTCCTGCATCGATGTTTCTTTGTCGTCTTATGAGTTTAAAATTGTCCTTGTTGTTTTGTGAACAGCTTCATGACTATGCTGTCTGGTCAAATAAATGTTGCATGGAGACTTTTGGTCTGTGTGTGAATGAATGAAAACAAGTGAAACGAATGAAAATTAATTCTCAGTCAATCTGAATGACTCGTTTTCTGACAGGCTTTTTGCTTAGTAGTGCTCAATTACTTGAATCTGATATTTCAAAAATCTTATATGTAGCAATCCAAAACTTATCCAATCACTCACAATTTTGTTTCCTCTTTTTACATTTTCCCTCAGACTCAAATGTGACAATTGCCTTAAGTTGCATAGATAATCTCTCTGAAGGAGATGACTTCAACGGCTTGTGGTCCACCACCTCTTCCTTCGTCTTCCTCTTCATCTTCTCTCTCACCTATAACATGATTTTCATCCTGGTTCAGGTAAACATGAAGAGGTTTTCTCTACATTTACTTCATTATGAGTAAAATGGATCCATACTCACAAGCGAGCCTTAAGAACAATTTATCTAACTGAGAATGATTTCTTTCTAATTTATTATTTTGTTTCTCCTTTTGTTTTCAGATTAAGAAATAATAAAGGTTCAGACGTGCAAGACAGAAATGAATGGCCGCAGAACATCTTCAAGAGTTGTTCAATATTTCATGTACTTTTTATAATGAACGAAATGGATGATTTTTAGAAAATCCTTATTATTACTGATATTGAGAAATAAATCATCATTTTGTTTTCAATGTGTTGCATGTGTTTTTCTGGTCTTAAAAATATGTATATTTTTAATTATTCTCAGTGCTACTTCTTTCTGTAATGAGACTGTAATTTTAAAACGTAAACTTGTCTTTGCTTTCACTCAAAGACAACTTTTTTCTCACTTGAGTGCTTCCTTTCGTCTCATGAGATTATTCTGTCAGTTAAGGGTTTGGTGTCTCAGGGGTTTTGTAAATAAAATTATTAGAAGCTTCAATGTGTTTCTGTATTTCTGGGACCTCTGCTTAAACTGTCAAAGTTAAAACTTCCTGGAAAGAACGTCTGTCAACTGTGGTATATTTGCATTTTTTCCATTCTATTAATGGAGAGTGACTTTTTTTTTGAAAACGGAAGAAAAATTGTTATATCCGTAAAGTAAATTTGAAAATTATTGGCGGAAAAGGTAAAGTTGCAGCAAAATAATCTGAAACTGTTGAGGAAAATTACAGGCAGTAATCTGAGTTTAGAACAACAACAAAAAGTATGCCTTATCATCAATACTTGCCCCACAGGGCAAAAGAAGACCATGCATATTCTGTTCATAAATGTTTGGCATAGCAATTTAACATTTTCTCTTGAAACATGTGTTGTGTGGTTTGACCTTGAATCTGTGGTCATACTCTGTGCAGTCGACAAAAACTCCGTAAAAAAATTAAGGACTGAGCTTTGTACTGGCTTATTAACCGTAAATAACAGAGAAGAATGTAGCATTTAATACAAAGAGCAGTAAATTTGGGACATTTAGCTGAAAATAAAAAAACTGCAATTCATAGCAAATGTCAAGAAAAGAAAATACATTATTTTCTCAAGTCAAGTTATATATAGTAAGTTACAAGAACAAATAATCCCTTCAATGTTACAGTGAGAGACATGAAAAGACACAAATATAAATGTTTCTTATTTGTCTCGTAGTGTTTGGGGCAGCCAGCAGCTTCAAAATATATCTTCTCTCTGCTATTTGACCAGTGCATATGAATGCTTTTATTTCCTACATGCTTCCTATTTGTTGCTCTCTAAATGATGACTGCCTCAGTCCAGTCCTATCCTGCAACTTTTAAATATTTCTTTTAAAATAATTTCATATTAACATTTATATTATAATAAAAAATATGTATACTGTTAAACTTGAAACTATAACATTTTGATTTGCATGTTTGTTCACATTACAATTAAAATCTGACATGCCATCACATGCAGCATGCTGTGTTTGTTGAAGACTTTATGTTTTTGATGTTGATGGTTATGTTCTGAATAATAAAACAAAAACCCCATCAGACAAAAAGAAAAAAACAAAAAAAAAAAAACTGTGACCTAATAATGTACATAACACACCAGACAATAGCATTTTATGTATTGTATTTGTTCCTTTCAACCCTGGTGTCCATTCTAAGAAGTCATTAGTAGTGATATCAGATAAAGAAGCAGTGTTGAATCAATATCGAGTAGCAAACAGAAATTAAAAAAAAAAAATAGAAAATGGTTTTAGTCAATGCAAATCTTCATGAAATGTCCTAATTTACTATTCATAATTCAGAAAATGTCACTATTGTTAACAACATAACACAAAAAAGAAAACTGATGCCTGTAGTGCAGATTTGTGGATGATTTAAAGAAAAAATATAACCAAATACATATCCAATTAAAAATAATTCCTATAATTACATTTATTCTCAGTACCTTTTATTCTTTTTGTGTCAACACAAATATCAGATAAAACTGAGTAAAATCCAAAATAGAATTGGCATTTTGCAAATGTCTAGATGTGTTTTATGTTTCACGGTATTCTTTAGAAAGCTACTCCCCGGCCCCTGAGACCACACCTGTTGAAGTGAAACTTTGTGGACACTATCACAGCTATAAATACATTTCCTTGAAGCAACATTCACATCTGCCAGTATCGGAATGTCCCCAAGCATAAAATGATTCACATAGTGTGTAAAGTTCATACTAACGCAACACCAACCACTTCTCCTGTGATCCCAACTGTATTGCACATTCAACAAAATTTTGTTACACTTTTAATCTTTTAAAGGTGATTGTACAACAGCATAGTTGTTGTCATAATCTATGTTCTTCAACTAACTACTCAAATGATAACAGTAGATGCTATTAGAAATGTAGTGCTCCTCTGACCAGTGGCGCAAAACATGGGTATGCAGCGCATGCAACGCATAGGGGCGCTGCACCAGAGGGGGCGTCAAAACCCCGTCTGGAGGGGGCGGCGCGCCGATGATGTCTTTGCATACACTTCAGCGCGCCCTTATGCTCCTTCATCTCGCGCATATAACGGGGTAAATGTAACGATTTTTACCTTTCACGTGTCTTCATCTGGGGGGGGGTAGAGTGAGCATACGTTTTCTACGCTCCTTCACC